GCTATTATCTATGCTCCTGGGGTTATCGCATGGATTGTGCATGTGCGGTGTAACACTCCGTCTTGGTGTGCCAGTGCGCACATCTCCCCAAGACTGCCTTCGGGGCGCGATGCCGGGGGCTCCACGCTGGCCATGGTGGGGACAGGTGCGGATTGGGTGTCTACCGGGGCCAGGAACAGGAAACCCCTTGGGAGTTTACAGTCCCGTTGAAATGTCATGAAAAGGTGTATGTGCAGGAGAACCGGACCTGAACTCAACTAGGAGACCTGAGCTGGACACTGTTAGCTCTGAAATTCCTGTGGGCCGGCCACTTGGTCCCCGGGGTCCCCATCTGTGAAATCTCACAGGAATCCACGCTCCCCGAGGACAGGGAGGGTGCCTGTGGCTCACGTGCCCTCAGTCCTCCAGCACAGTCCCAGACATGTGGGGGGCGGGGCAGCGCTTGCCACAAGAGGTGCAGACAGGCACGCACTCTCTCCACCCTTCCCTTCCAACTCCGAGAACGCGGAGACCCACAATCCAGAGAGTGAGAGTCAGAGACAACTGGCGTGGCCCAGCCTCCTCCGGCATCTCACGGCAGGGCAGGGCGTGTCACGCTGGACACTGGGCAGGGCTGGGCAAGCTGACTCAGAGAGATCTGATTCAGAGATCACAGTGACGAGTCCACTGCGGGGAATCGTGAAAGGACAGGCCTTTTTCTTTACCTCTCCCATTTGGTACCTGACTTTGTGCTTGGGTTCAAAACCACCTTTAATCCTGACCGAAGAGTCTGGAAAAATCCCAGCAACAAAAACTGAATCATCTGCCCTCTAGGCGGTCACTTCCAACTCCCGGGGGAGCTCACGGCCACCTCCCCATCCAAGCCCTCTTGCTGCTAATCCCAGAAACATTTACGGCGTTCATCTGGGTCCATGTCTTTTCTTCCTTTAGCTAATGTAAAATTTTGTTATTTACAAAGGCCACAAATGGAACGCAAATGCGCCCATTTACTTTTCTGTGTTGTTACTGCTAGGGTTCTGATTCTGAAGGGGAGAACCTTACAGTTGTGAGAACATTCAAATTTAGGATGACTTTCAAAAAAGAACACAGGTTCTCTCAGTTATTGGAGGTGCTGAAACTCAGCAGCTTATAACTCTATTCCAACTATGATATTCTATTTCTTAACAGCCCCCACACCCCTTGTAGCTATGCCCAGCTCCCCCTCCACAGAAAAAGCAAGGTCATTACTCTATCGTAGTTAACAGTCTAAACTGCTTTCTGAGTCAGTTCAAGAGTGTTAGGTACTAGGTCAGAATTTTAGATAAGAGAAGCATTATTTAAATATTGAACTTTTTTTTTTTCATTTTTAAGTTGGATTGACTGAAAAGACTAGTCTCCCCCATGTGGAAAGATAAAAATTGAGACTGATGATTCGGGTCTCACCAACACAGGAGGTGCAGCGAGAGGAGGTGCATTCACTTCCTGAACCCTGACTTACCGGAACTAAGGGGACACACATAGAACCAAAGGCAGTGCCGGGTCACAAACGGTTCACAAACGCGTTGAGAACGGCCCGAGGTGCTGGAGGGCACGGAGGCCACCCTGTGCTGCAGACGGTGCTGAGGCCCGGGGAGGACAACTGGTTTAAAGTTCCCTCTCTGCCAACTGTGTCCCCCGGGGCAACCCGGCCTCTTTTGAGCCTGTTTCCTCAGGTTTACGAACCAAGACAACAGGCCTCTGTGAAAGGAGGGGCAGGAGTTCCCTCATCACTCCCAGGAGCAGTTCAGGTGAAAACCCCACATATGTGGGGGGGCGGGGTTAGAGGTGCAGATACAGTTTTGGAGTTTCCAGGAGTTTCCAGGAGTTTCAGCTCTGGGAGCGGTCCTTCCCCAGGGTTGGCAGCTGGATGAAGGGGAAACGCAGCCTTAGCCAGTGTCAGAGCTAAGAAGGGCTGTCAGGCAGCTGGGCATGACCCCATGAAGCCCCTTCTGCCCTCTGTGGAGTTTCCTGCTCCTGTATCCCCCCTTTGTATGCACTTCCCACGGCCTTATTAGTTGCCTGAATAGCTAATATACTCTATTAAGTGAGTTGAAATGTTAATGGATGATAATGACTATTAATTGGCTGCCACTCCCATATAACTCCTCCATCTCAACCCAAATATTCAATGACTGAGCCTACAGAAGTGATTTCTGTGGGAAATTCCAGTTTCCTGGAAAAACCAAGGCCGAAAAAGGGGCGTGCTTAGACAGAGGGGTCAGAAGCAGGGGAGGGGCCAGGGCAGCTGAGCCAAGCGTGTCCACGTGGCCGTCTACCCAGCATCATCAGACATGACACTCACTGCCAATCTGATCGTGCTACCTCTTTCCAGACACCAGGTACAAACCGAGTTATCTGTAAAAGCAGCTAGTTCACGTGGATTCAGACCTTCAGTGCTTATAGAGAGTCTTTCGTGGTCAACTATCACAAGGATCCCCGAACACTCCCTGAGCAAAATCCCATGGGTTGCCTAACACAAAATGGAAATAGACTCCGTTGTAACAAGGCTTGTAGCAATGAGGTTTACCTGACCTGGGATGAATTTAGGATCACCACAATCTCCCCATGATATTCACCACAGTAGCTGGTAGAGAAACAGAGAGCAGAGAATGAGGCCAGCCAGCTTCTTCTTGCTCTCTTGGGAGATCTTATTAATCAATTATAAGCTACTCAGGAAACCAAAGCTGGATTGTAGCTCCCGTCCCGTACCATAATTACGTACTTACACATCTATCTTCCCCCTGAACTGGGAGCCACCAGAGAGCAGAAAATGTGTTTCTTTCTCTCCCTCTCCCTCTCCCTCGTCCTGAGCACAGAGCCTAACACAGGGTAGGTGCTCAATTAACGGTGCTGAGTGATGGAATGAATGAATGACTGGCTGGAATACTGAGCAGTACCTTCACCCTCTTCCTACCTTTCCATGTTCAGATATCCAAACTGGTCATCTCAGAAAAATAAGACAAAATGATAAATACAGACCCAGGATTCCTAAACTACCCATCAAGCAAGACAGAGGGAGAACTCCAGGTGCTCAGAAAACTCAGTCATGATGGTTAGAGCACGTGGCGTGGGGTGCTGCTGGGAAACCCTCTTTTGATGTTTGTTACCACCTGTAAGGGACAGGAAGAGTGATATCCAGCATGTGCTCAATGTCAGAGTCTCCCCCCAAGAAAAATAAATGGTAATTTAGAGGAGCTCACTGTCATAGTGCTTGAGTTTTGCAAGGGGCTGGGAAAGAAATGAAATGAGAACAAGGGAGCGGGTACACCCCTCCTCTAGAGAAAAGGCACCCGCTCCCCCGCTCGAAGCTCTCCCATTTCTCCGCTGCTCCCTCCTGCAGCTCAGGTGACCCACGCCTCCTACAGCTATGGAGCAGCCCCCTTGCTGGGAAGCCTCGCTCTGGCCTGTCCTTCCCACACGCGAAGAGGCAAAGGGACTCGGCACAGGCTTGGGTAGGAAAGGCTTCTGTGCCCCTCGCACCTTCCCAGGGTCCCCCTGAAGGGACAGCCACTGCCAGCCCCTCTGAGGCCTGGCTGCCTGTGGGCCCTGGGGTCACAGGCAATCTGCCCCTCCCATTCATTCGGGAGTCCCTCCTGCGCAGTCAGGGCTTTCAATACAGCTTCTCAAACCCGGGGGATCCTTTCATAGGAAACAGGATGATCATTCCCAAGGAGTTACATTTCCTGATTTCAGGATTGTTATAGTTCGTGCAAGAAACAAGTAATTATTAACTCCAGTAAAACTTAATGAGGTCCTTCCCACCCCAGGCTAAGGGTTGGTACAAAATGTAATTTGAGTTCAACTAAGGCTGGGGAAGCATAAAATACTCGGCACTGGGTTGGCGGTGATACGGCTTGCGGGAGCCCTATTTTCTAGGAGGCCTTCAGATCAAGATAGGACTGGGGTGGGAGGGGAGAAGCACCGATTTTGGAGAACAGGGCAAGAGGTGAAGAGATGAAGCCCAGGCAGAGTCAGAACCACAAGGGCTAATGAGGGGCAGCTGCTTGGTGGACCACTGTGAGCAGAGCAGCCACTCCACCAGCGTATGCCTTGGGTTCCAGCCCCGACCGTGCGCCCTCAGGAAAGTTAGGGCGCCTCTCAGAACCCAGTCTCGGTCTACCAGTGCAGACCGAGAGGGCAGACGAGCTGCAAGGGAGGGTCGGTGGTCCGTGCCCGATGCTCGGGGCCAGGCACCTCACCCATAAAGTGCAGTCAACACCTCCACCAAAGCTGGGCTGTCTTGGATATTTCTTCTTCCCTCCCCGCTCCCCACCTCCCCTTCTAATTCATCCACTGCTGAAACCTCCGGCTGGCTGAAGCCGCCTCCTTGCCGCGCGCTCGGAGCTGTCCCCAGGTATAGGTCTTTGTGTCGGGAAAACTTTCCGAGAAAGCGAAGGCGCCGGACAAAGAACGGGAGAGGGAGGGCGTTTGCCAGCGGGGTGGTGTGCGCTCTTCCCTGCGCTCGGCTCCGCACGGGCCGCACGCGGTGCCCTGAGCTCAGTCCCCCAAGCGGGAGTGGCAGGCTCTGGCCCGTCCCAGCGCCCTCGCGGACTGAAAGAAGGCCCACGGGAGAGGCAGAGGCGGGCGTCTGGACACCGGAGTGGACTGGGGTGGAGGAGGCGAAGAGAAGCACGGAGCAAAGCTGTCAAACTGCGCGCGGAGCCCCACGCAGGGCGGGGAAACGGAGGGGAGGGGGGGAGGGGGGAGGGAGGGAGGGGGGGAGGGAGGGGAGGGGAGGGAGGGAGGGGAGGGGAGGGAGGGAGGGGAGGGGCGGGCGCCGAGAGAGCGAGCGAGCGGGCTCGCCGCGCTGAGCAGCCCCCGTCTGCTGCTGTCGCCGCCGCCGGCCGGGACTCGCAGGGAGCGCAGGGTGTCTGCCCCGCCGCGCGCCGCGCACCGCGCGCGGAGGCTCCGGCGCTCGCCGCTGCGCCCTCCCGCCCGCTCCCCGCTCCAGCCGGCACGGTCCCGGTGGGCGCGAAGCCACCATGCAGCTGCAGTTCCGGAGCTGGATGCTGGCCGCGCTTACGCTGCTCGTGGTCTTCCTCATCTTCGCAGACATCTCGGAGATCGAAGAAGAAATCGGGTAAATAGCTGCGCCCGGCCCCTGCCCAGCCCGCGGGATCTCTCCCTCCGCGGTACTCTCCGCCCTCCCCACCGGCTTTGTGCTCGCCGCCGCGCCCCCCTGTCGCTCCGCTGGAGGCGGCGGTACGGTTTTGGTCGGTGGTGGCGGTGCCGTGGGCCGGGACTGTTTGATGAGCGGCGGGTGGGGGCGCGGCCGCCGTGGGGTGTCCCCGGGCCGGGAGCACGGGCAGCCTCCGGCTGGCCCGCATCAGGGAGCAGGCTCGCCCACCCTACCACCCTCCCCCCTTCCCCGGGGAGTCCACGCGCGACACCACCTGGGTCGAGGGAGGGCGCGGGGGAGTGTCTGGGGCGGGCGCAGGGGCCGAGAGTGGAGGAGGCAGGAGTTTCTTTGTCTCCGGCTCGGCCGCTTTCTCGCCTTGGCAAAGTGGGCAGCGGACACGCGGGAATCTCTATGCTGGGGGAGGGGATCCCCCGGCCCGAGCAGAGGGCGGGGGCTCTGCACAGGCTCCCGGGAAGGGGAGTGTCCCCAGTACCGACGGACACGCACACACGCACTTCTCCCCGACCGGGGAGCCCAGCGGTGGGGCGCGCTGGGATCGTTAAAGGTGGAGCGCGCGCGGGGCTGGGCTGAGACCTCCCCGCCCTCGCCCGGCTTTGGACCCTCAGCTAACCCCACGGCGCCCCCTGCACCCCCGAGTTCCCGTGCGCTCGCAGCGCGCAGAAGGAGACCTTTCTGGAAAGTCTATATCGCCGCCCGGTGGTCTTCGGAGCCCCCGGGCGCGCGGTCTCGCCCTGGCTTTGCTTGGGATCTCTCCTGAGGGAGGGCGGGGCTGCGAGCCCCGGCGCGGGACTGCCAGGAGCGCGCACTTGCAGCGTGGGGCGCACCCGCGGTGGGTCCCGGAGGCTGATGCTCGCGCCCCGCCAGGCAGCCTCCCGCACACGCACACGGCCCGGCCCCTCTTCGCCTCCGTGCCATACAAAGCCTCCAGCCCACAGTGGGCTGGTGGGGAGACAGCCAGGGTGCGGAGGGGCCAGGACGACGGCGTCCTGGTACTGGACGCCGATAAGGCGGGGCTTCGGAGCGGACAGAACGGCCCTTCCTCCGTGGGGCTAGGGCCACGCCAGGCGCCCCGTGGGAGTCCCGCGCGTTGTGCGCCCCTCCTTTGTCCCATTTGTTATTTCATTATTTCAGCGCGAGTTGGGAGCCCCTATGCTGACAGTTTCTTCGAAAGGGAAAGGGCCAGTCGCAGGCCCAGGTGCCCGGGCCCTAAGGACTCAAACCTGGGACCGGCGCCGCTCTCTGCTTTTCTCCTTTACATCTGTGCAACCCCAGAGTCCCTTCTGTGACCTCTACCGCACTTGTAGAATCCTTTTCTCTGCTTCTTTCTCCTCATAACCCTCGGTTTCCCCCAAGGACTCCCAAAACTTTCACAAATACTATTTAGTTAATACACAACGACGTGCCACCAGCTCCCACGCGGAGACAGAAAACAGCTTTCTGTAGCTGTTCAACTGAAAAACGTGGGTAGGACTGGAAAGGGGCTAGCCAAGTTTCCAATGATGGAGGTCCGGGGGAAGGGCCTTCCTCTAGGTTCCTCCCTTTTCTCCCAGATGCAAGTTCTGCCTGGCCCAGGCCACTTGCTGACTTTGACTTGTGACAGGGAGGGACCAGCAGCTGCCTGTTGTTCTGCTATAAAATCTTAAGGGCTGCGAGCTCATACAGTCACCCCTTGCTCCTCCGTTCCCTGAACTTCTACCAAATACCTTCTACGTGCCAAGGACGTCTCATTTTTAGAAGGCAGTCAGGAAATCACTTTGTACTCAATGCTGCGCTTTCCTGCCGAACGCACGGTGAAGCTCCCACTCCCCCACATTAGGTTGTCCCAGCAGGGTCTCTAGGTGCAAGCTCCAAGACCTTAGCTAAGAAGGGCACTTACATATTTAAAACCCAGGGCTCTTACACTATGGGTGTGCCCCTGGGGACTGACTTCATTGGGGGTCCCTGCCTGGGCTGAGCCTGGGAGAAACTGTCAAGCTAGTCAAATGTGCTCCCGGCTATGGCCTTGTCCTGAGGCTGACCCCTGGCTTGACCAGTCCTGACCTGAGACACCCACCTCCCCTAGGACCCCCAAGTCTGCCCCGCATGCGTTTAACTCAGAGGAATGGAGGCACACCCGGGAGTTGCCATGTCTAAGGGAGGAAGGACACAGGACAGAGGATGGGAACTCCAACAGCCCTGTATCTACTTATAAGCCAGATTTCAAGCTCAGCCACTTGTTTAAATCTTGTAACCACCCCAACTCCGACCAGCTGGAGGGGGCTCTGAGTGGTAAGTGTCCCGGCACAGTGACAGCAGGGGAGCCACCGTATGCCTTCCCAGGAAACCGTAGATCACACTGAAGACCACGGGCCATTGTGCCAGCCCTGCCCACCCTTCCCCAACTTGCTCTCAGCCCGTGCTGTGGAGGATTACAAATCACCTGCCTCCCTCCGTTCCTGCGAGACGGCGATGAGCCTATAAAAGGACAGCTGTTTCTGGAAGACAATGAGCAGTGGGACCCTGCGCTCGCTCGGTTAGAAAAGAAGGAAGGAACCTCTTTCTGGAGTAAATTTTTCAAGGATTAAGGCATGAGCAATGAAAGAGGAAAGAAGAATTACACCTGTATTGTCTGGAGGGACAAAGCTGAGATACACTTTCCTTAAGCTCGCGGTTCCCTTTCTTAGAAAATGAGGCTTGTGCTGTGGGGTCTCGGAGGTCCCATGCTGCCTTGCGAGGCATTGTGAGGGTCAGGGCTTTCTTCCAGAGGATTTTTCTGAGACACGCATCTCTTATCCTAAGTGATGGTTTTCAAGTTTCCATCTCTGCACAGACAACAGTGTGGTGATGACCAGAGGGAAAGCGGGGGGCGGGGAGGGGGGTGGAAGAGGGTAAAGGGGGATCAATGGTGAGGGAGGGAGACCTGACCTGGAGCAGTGACCACACAATACAAGAGACAGATGATGTGTGATAGAACTGGACCTCTGAGATCTACATACTTTTATTAACCACTGTCACCCCAATATATTTTTTTAAAAAAGAAATTTAAAATGTTACATTTCTAATTCACTTGCTTATGGAAATACCTCCCCGGGGCTGAATGCGAATGAGGAAATTTAGAAAGATGAGTTCTCTGCAAAGCACCCAAACAAATCAGGGGTTGGGTGCAGCTTTGGAAAAACAACCCCTGATTAACTAATGTGCAGCACTCCCAATTTTAGAGTCGATGGGGCCACGTTAGAAGCTAACAGCTTTTTCTGATTGTCCCTTGGGCTTTGGCTTTGAGAGTAACCACAAAGAGGGGGTGTGGGCATGACTGTCTTGCCCACCAGGGTGTCCCCAGAACCTGGCAGTCAGAAGGCACTCAGTAAACATCTGCTGGAGGAACACATTCCCCAGGTCTTGCCCAGTGATGGGCGCACACTATCCGTGGGCAAGGCTGAGACTCCCAGAGCCTAAGGATGGGAAAGGAAGACCGGGCTCCCTCTAAAAAAATCTCCTCTCCCCACAATTAGGGCATATTTGGCCCTGAGAAGCAATGCCTTCTGGTTAAGGACAGGACAGGCCTGCACAGGTCTCCTCTGTAACCCAACGTCCCAGTCCCCAGATGAGTTCCTCTAACCATATGAGAGTTACAGAACTCTGGTTAAAGAGGAGGTATCTAGTAATAGTAAAGTAACTGAGAAAATGGTGAAGATGAAGATGAAGATGGTTGTTATCAATTATTGCTATGACCCAAGAGCTATTTCAAATGCCTTATGGACATTAGCACATGTCAACCTCCTGGCCTCTTAATGGTCACCTACCCATGACGCTGAAAGCTACTCTTTTTTTGAGCTCTGTATGCCAGGCACTGTGCTAACTGCCTGAGTCTAGTTCACTCAGTCCTCACCCACCTCTCTAAGTGAAGTACTATAGTTATGTTAGGGTTACCCGTGAGGAAACTGAGGCTCAAAGAGGTTGTGCAAACTACTAGTGATAAAGCAAGTAACCTTCGTTGTACAAGAAGCCAAAGCCCCACTCTTGACCACCATGCTAGACTGTCCTGCCTCTGAACTCTTTCCCCCTGCAGTAATGTCACCAAGTAGATCTCAGAATTAGCCTTCCTCTCCCTCCAGGGCTCTCCCAAAGGCCCAGGGTTTCCTAAGAGCTTGCTCTGCCTCTGTAGCTTTTCCCACAGGAAGACGGAAGGTGAATAGAGGGGGCTGGCGAAGGACTCAGGCTCACTTCCCAAGGGTCCCTCTGGTCTAGTCAAGGCCGGTGTGGCAACACAGCACAAAACGGCACTATCTCCTGGCTTTCCAGACAACCTCGCCTGCCATGGGTATGAGCATCTAAGACTCACAGGTGTGCCCCTAGGCTGCGTGGGGAACGGGAAACCCCCATTCCGCTGCAAACCCGATGTCAACAGGAGGTGCCTCCCCACGGCAACACGCCATTTGACTAGGCACCTGGACCAAGGGTGGCAGTTAAGATATTTGACAACTGGTCCCTCTTGTGCATTGACCTGTTGAATGGAAATCAAACTGATCAGAACCCATGCTGCACAGGATACCGAGGCCAGGAGCCCTGGTGCCCCCAGCCAGACATCAAGCCCTACCTGGGAAGGTAATGAGGGGCTAGCTGTGATCATTGTCTGAGACTAGATCCCTGAGCCGGCAGCAACCACTGCCATCAGCCGAGAGCGAGGCGAGGTGCGCCTTTCAGCGGATGAGTCCAGGTGCATGTGAAAGAAAATGACCTTTTCTTTGAGCAGTTGCAGCCAGGCCCTCCCTAAGGAGCATACGTATTTGCTCGAGACGATGCAACTTTTTATTTTCTAAAGTCCATTCTTCTCTTCAGTCCTGAGTACTTCACTCGAGTATCAACATGATTGGAGAATAAAATAGGAAGGAAAAAGACTCTGGTTTTTACCTCACTTGTTCCAAGTCCTCGTTGCCAACGGTTCCTAGCATCAAATTTAA